TCAAAGATTTTCACATTTTCACACCAGACTGCTTCTGCTGATGGATATCCTGCCCTGGGAGGTGGCAGGGGTGTGATGCCATCTGATGGCCTCGTGTTGGGTGCACAGTAAAGTGTGACAGACACAAAAGGACCCCTTGGGGGGCTCACAGGGGTGTCCTGCCTTTCTGTGTGTGGCTGGGGAGGGATGGCTTGGTTCTGCTGGGGTGGAACAGCCGAGGATCCCATTGCTGGGGCTGTTTGAAGGGCAGCAGTCACACCCAGCACAGCTGCAGGTGCATTCCCGAGGGGAGCATCCAGAGCAAGGCAGGGATGCCCTGCACCACCCTGGGGCCAGGACCTGCCCCTGTCCTTTCTGTCATCACCCTTCCCACTGCACCCCCAAATGCTGCAGCCCTGCTGGGGACACAAACCCTGGGAACCCCTGCCTGCCTTGAATTTATCGCCTGTCAATAATTTCTGACTGATGTTGAAGCCAACATCATCAGCCACCCCTCAGTGAGGGTGTGCTGGCACCTGTGAGGAGGGATCAGGAGGGGATGGCACTGATTAACTCACCCAGCACTAATTAACTCACCCAGCACTAATTAACTCACCTCACCCAGCCAAACCACTTTTCCTTAAAGTCTCAGTTATTTTTTTACACCAGGATGGTGCCACCTCTGTTTGCCCAGAGCTCAAACACCAAGGGAGGATTGGAGCACAATTTATCAGCCTGTACCAATCCCAATGGGAACACAAGGAATGGGACAAGAGCAGAGCAAGTGCCACCCAAATTCATGGCCTGAAATCTCCTCCAGTGCCAGCAGCTCCCCTGGGTGCCAACCCATCCTTGTGCCATCTTCTCCCCAAATCCTGCTCTGCCTTTGATATGTTAATCCTGCATAAGGCAAATTCTCCCATTAGAATAAAGTCCATTCTGGTCTCCCTGCAATCTGCATGATCCAGTTCAAAGTTAAATTAAAAATCCCAACCTGTGTGAATGTTGCAATCGCATGATGAAATCTGTAAATCTATTTTTAATGTCTTAATGCTGAACGAGGCAAGGCGACTGCTGCTTGGCATTTGCTTTACACTTTTTGGGATTCTCATGCACTCATTAAATATTCACTCTGCAGCCTTTGCATTTCCAGTACTGCAGGACCCTAAAATAGAAGACAAGTTTTTCTTTCCCTCTTTTGTTTCTGAAATTCCAACTTGACTCCAAGATCTCTCCAAATCAAATGTGAAGCACTAAACACTGCAAGGAGAAAATGTTTCAAATTAATACAGATGCCAGAAAATAGGATTTAAATCCTAAACATGCGGCTATTTGCATTGTTTTTAGGAGGTGACAGAGCAAAATGTTTGATTTAATTTTAACTTTGATATATGCAATATAATTAATTCTCAATATAGTTAATTCTCTGAGTAGCTTGTTTTTATTAAGGAGATATTTGAACATCGCTGGAACAATTCTCCCAAATCATCATCTTACAGAACATTTCTTGGGGGAGCAGTTTGTGCTTTTCATTCTGATCTGGGATGGAAACAAGCTCTGAAAGACAGGAATGTTTCTTTTCTGTTCGACTGGCTTTGCAAAATCAGCGTATGAAGCAGTGAAATGGATTCTGCAGTTGTCCCTTGGGAGCTGTGCCATGAGAGCTCGGGCTCTGCCTCTCCCTCCGTGCCGCCACCTCTCTGTCACCACTGATGTCCCAGCCGGGATGAACTCCTCGGTATGAGGTGCATACAAAAATCGGGCGTGTGAAACACCGAGAGAGCAGCGAAGGAGGGCAGAGGCGATGGATTTGTCCCGAAATCCCGGATTTTCCCAGCAGAGCCGCGGGACAGCGGGCACGGCCCGAGGGGGCAAAGGGGAGGTTGGGAACCGCTCGGGGTGCCCGAGGCTGGGAAGAGACGGGGATGGACACGGCCGGGATGGACAGCCCGGTGGTTCTGTTCTCCCGTCCCCTCTTTGTCCCCTCTCTTGTCCCTCTCCGTCCCCCTTCTATCCCCTCTCTGTCCTCCCTGTCCTCCTCTATCCCCTCTCTGTCCCCCCTCTATCGCCTCTCAGTCCCCTC